ATAAACAAACATGTATAAGAATTATCGTTATTCTTCAATGTCTCCAGATGGTGCAAATGGTTAAGATTAGAGGTTCGAGGCGTCTTGGAGGAAAGGCCTGGTGATCTACTTTCAGGACATCAGCCATTGAAAACCCTAACACTGACACATATGAGATCACCAAGAGTCGGAATCAACTTGTTGGCAACTGTTATTTTTGTGTGTATGTGTGTGCATGTGCATGTAAGACAATTAAATAAGAAAATGTAGAGCAGTAAATGTTCATTAATTTATACACTCCCCCCCTTTCTCTTTATAATTCATTGCTGAGATATTGGGCTATAATTAACCTAGCTACTTTTCTATTTGGGAAATTTAGCTGATTTCCAATCTTTACTATCTTAAACAATGTTGTCATAACATAAGAATTTTTATATTTTTATTGAAATGACAGATATAGAATTTTCAAATCAAATATTGTTTACAGATTTTGATAATATTTCCAAAGTCCTTTCTAAAATGTTTTGCATTATTTTCTAGAACCACAAATAATACATGGGAACATTTGTTATTGTTGTTGTTGTTATGTGCTGTTGAGTCGATCTCGACCTATGACAACACTATTCGCAACAGAACGAAACATTGCCCTGTCCTGTGCCATCCTCGCAATCATTGCTATGCTTGAGAACATTAGTTTTACCATATTATTAGCATTGTTTACTGAGATTGTAATACTTGTTGTTTCACTTGGTGACAGCAGTACCAAACACTTGCTGTTGTTGTTATGTACCATTAAGTCGGACCCGACTCATAGTGACCCCTCCTTGGGTTTTTGAGGCAGTATCACTACAGAAGTAGATTGCCCAACCTTCCTTCCGAGGAGTGGCTGGTGGGTTTGAACTGCCAGCCTTTTGGTTAGCAGTCAAGTGCCTTTGGCACTATGGTACCAGAGCTCCTAACTAAACACTGGTCCTGTTCAATTATTTCATTTATAAAGCTATTGGGGTTGAACAGTCATGTACAGAAACTTTGTCTCCTTATAGTCAGTCATTTGTTGATAGCATCTTTTCTTCAGATCTGAAATTTATGGAAATACTACTTATATATACAGCGTCTATCACAGCCTCTGGCATCTATCAGCCCCTCAAACAATGTCATTTTTCCACCTAGGTAACACGTACTGACTCACACACACTAATCTAGGTGATCAAGAGAATTAATCCAAGTTCAGAATTTAGGAAATGTTAATATACTAGGAGAAGTGATGTAAGGAGCAGGGTGATTGGCTAGGAGGATGTCTGTGTGGGTGTGGGTGTATGCATGGGGATGCATGCTTACAGGATGATTTGATAAACTTATTCTCAGCTTGGAGTCCCTTGGTAGCATAAATGGTTGATGTGCTTGACTGCAGACGAGAAGGTTGGAAATTCTACGTTTGAGTCCACCCAGAAGTGCCTTGGAAGAAAGGCCTAGCAATCTATTAAAAAAATCAGTCATTGAAAACCCTATGGAGCACAGTTCTCCTCTGGCACACATGTGGCCATCATGTGGCTAATAATATGGTAAAACTAATGTTCTCAAGCTGAATCAGAATCAGCTCAATGGCAACTGGTTTTACTCTCACCTTATTTGACATTATGTGGACATTTTAATTTAGGCCATATGAAGTTTCATGCAGAAGTTTTCCCAAACTTCCTGATTTGATTCCACTGCCCAGCTCTCTAGACAGGACTCTTATCTCCAGAGGTATCAAATTGTTTATCTCCCATGACTCCCTTCATGCAGAGCAGTGTGGTGGTTTTTATTATTATTATATTTTTATTTTCCTAATGCACACTCTCTCTGTGTGCTGCTTTACCTGCTCCCCTCTGATTCTTTCCTCTCTGGATCATACTGCTCTGCCTTCCAGGACATTTTTCCATCCCACCCAGTAAAATAAAAGAATGTTTCCTGGTAGCACAGTTTGGGCTCAGGAAGGAATCTTGAGTCAGTGGAAGGATACCAGGACAGTGAGATGATCTTTGTAATGGACTCTCACATGTAATAAATTTTGAACTTATCTTGAGTGTTATTGCAGACGTTTTCTTTTCACATTTTTAATGAGATTTTTACATGGGTTTTCAAAGAGATTACTTAGTGATTTCATGTATGTCAATATTTGACCAAAATTTTGACCAAAAATTATCATGAACTATTCATTATTTTATAATCCTGTTGAAATAAGCCCTAAATTACAGCCAGTCCACTCAGGATACTTGTAGGTGAATGCGCACCTGCCCTTTATTTTAAGAGACTTATCCAAATGTACAATAACACTATTTCCCCATGATTATGGAGATAGAAAACATGAAAGAAAATATTATAACCTGTATATTTTATGTCCCTGGATAATTGTTTATTTTTCTTCAAGAAGATATAAACTTAATATTTATTTCTTTACTACTTTTATTACAAGTCATCTTCCAAGAAATAAGTGCTTTCAGGGAAGAGAGAATAACACTTTCAGTTTGTTCTAGAAACAACTTAAGTTTAGATGAGCCTCACAGTAAATGAACTTGATATATTAGAGCTTGAATTTTCCTAAAATATAAATGAATTTGACTAGCTAATTTGTTAAATTTCTAAAGGGAAAATCATCTGTGATGAAGTGGAAGGAACACTGGACTGTCAATTCTACAACTATTTAATTTTATTAATCTTTAGAGAGTCACTCTACCTTACACCTCATAGCTATGGATCGATACGTGACCTGTATTGTTGAACATCTTAACTGAAAGAATATAATAGGTTCTTTCTTGTCCAGTGCTTGTTACACAAACACTATATAGTAAGTGCTTCTGGAGTAAACGTTTCACAATAGAATTATTAACAAATAACTACTGGAGAGACGATATCAGTTCTCTTGTTGAGAGAACTCATCAATGTCATATAAACCAATTTGAGAATAAGAAATCTACTCCTTGCTATCACAGCAGGATTTGAAGTTTTATACATTGATAGATTTGCATTCTTTATCTTGGTCTTTGCATTTATAATGATAAATTTCTCTAACAGTGAAGTTTATTGTGAGAAACATTGTGTCATTCATAACATATTTTTTTTATCCCTAATTCCTAGGACTGAAGCAAGCAAATTATATTTTAGAACAAAAAGGAAACCTTCAGGGTTGTACTTCATACCTTAACACTGTACAAGGAACGACATGTTCATAACAATGACAGAGGCTTATGAAAAACAATTATTTTACTTTAACTGTCTTCATTTTAAGTTTGCTTTAAAAAAAAGTTTCCTGTATTATTAGAATGTTATTCAGCCATGAAAATCAAGTTAGAGAGTATATTAATGTGATTGTGGTATAAACTCATAAATGAAAATGCATTTTATGTAATTCCTTTTCAAATATCATTACAATTATGTAAAAAAAAAAAAATCAAACTAGGAATATAAACTTATTCACAGATAAAAGTCTGGATGGATTTTTTTTCTCTGAAGTGCAACTTTGAATAATTTAAGCCCATTTTTTAAATAAGTTATACATTTAATATTATGGCAATATATTGTTATAATAGAAAAGTGACAAATTTGCAGAGAAAAGAGTATGTGGTGTATTTACCACATTTGTTTTGAAGCAGGGACTGAATTAATCATAAGATCAATGAACCTCAATGGCTGAATCTCACATCAGTTTCCTCCATCCACTATAATCGGAACTGGAGTCATAGTTTCTTCATATTTTCTTATGACTCCACCACTGGTGGAAATTATCATGAGAGCCACAGTTATCCCAGAAGTGTGTGGTTCCATATAGTCATAATAAGTCATACTTTAAATGAAACACAAAACCAAACCAAACTCACTGCCATTGAGTCAATTCCAACTTATAGCAACCCTTACTGGGTTTCCAAGGCTGTAAATCTCTGGAAGCAGATTGCATCATCTTTCTTTGTGGAGCAGTTGGTGGGTTTGAACCATCGACATTTTGGTTAGCAGCCAAATACCTTAACCACTACACAGCCACAGCTCCTTGAATGGAACACAAGGTGAACTAATCCAGTTGAAGTGCCTATAGCCATGATTATAAGAAGTCTCAGAGTTATTTTATCCCATTTTCTAATTCCTATAAAATGGTTCTTTACAAGATCTCATTATGAGACACCAAGTTAGTTCAGATAATGAAAAATAACTTTCTATAGAGAGGACACGTGTTACTATAGTTCAAACCGTTAAAAGTAGAATTGTCTCATTGAATACATTGTTAACATCACAATTACCATCATTGTCATCCTCAACACAGAGTATTATTATTGTGTCAGTAATGAACTAAACTTAGCACAAAGAAAATTGCAGTCTTCATCACAGAGAATTAGGCACTTAGAAATGAAAATAACTATAAAAATGTGACTACACATGTATAATACACAAAAGTGTGTTTCATACTAAATCAAATCAATTATTATATGTGTTCTAGAAATCTCATCAATAAGAAAAGATATATAAAAATAACTTTATCTTAAGTTTTGTTTCACAGTATTATCCTGAAATTTTGAAAAATTACATTTTGAGTGAAACTAGAATCGATGCGTATTTTAGCTGAAAACCATCAATATTTACATCTACTGTCTATTCATTAACTAGTAGTAGTGTGCTACTTTTGAAATCTACTGGGAGTAGGTGGAGAATATATGACATAGGAGAATTGACTAAAGAATATTACAGTTTTACTTACTTGAGTTGTCTTCATATAACTCAATACCAAAACAATCAAGGCACATTGTAATTTTGATTACAGCTCCCTACTCCACTTTTTAAATAATGAATCCAGCAAGATTTTTATACTAAGAGAATACAACTTTAACAACTGGATAATTTTGCCAAATATAGACCAAATTCTAAATCCAAGCAGTTAGATATATATAATTATTAAAATAATTTCTAAATGTAAATATTGCCACCATTGAAAATTGATAACCTAAGAATGTGTCTTGATTCATAAAGATGTACTGAATTCTAACAGCACTATTCTACCTAATGATAAGGCCTTTGCATAGAACTTTCCTCAGAGCCTCCCCTACGTCCTTGTTCCTTAGGCTGTATATGAGGGGGTTCAACATGGGAGTCAGAATGGTATAGAATATAGAGAGCCCTTGAGCCTGCTCTGAGTTGCGTAAAGAGCTGGGAATCATGTAGACGAACATAGTTGGGCCAAAGTAGAGAAACACCACCATCAAATGGGAAGAGCAGGTGGTGAAAGCTTTATTTCTCCCCTTGGAAGAACGTATGTGGAGAACACTAAGAAAGATAAGAATATACGAGGTGAGGATAAGGCCAAAGGGTATGAGAAGAAATAAAATTGCCATTACTAAAACTACTTTCTTATAAGCTGACGTGTCCTCACATGATCGTTTAAGTACTGCTTGGAGTTCACAGAAAAAATTATGGATTTCTCTTGAGCCACATCTGGGAAAATGCATGGTATATACAGTCTGAACTACAGAATGAATAGCACCCCCAATCCAGGACACAATGGCCATCTGCAGGCAAAGTTTAGGATTCACAATGACCATGTACCTCAAAGGGTTACAAATAGCCACATATCGGTCATAAGCCATAAAGGTTAGCAAAATACATTCACTACCTCCCAAGGCAGAGTAAAAATAGACCTGAGTTCCACAGCCAACGTATGAAATATCAGATGTACCTAAGAAATAGTTGGTTAGCATCTTGAGAACTGTGGTGGAGATGAGGGAGATGTCCATGAGGGAGAGCTGACTGAGCGGGAAGTACATGGGGCTGTGGAGCCTAGGATCCAGAACAATGAGGAGGACCAGGGTAGAGTTTCCTGTGATGGCAACAATGTAGACAAGAAGAATAGCGCAGATCATTAAGCCAATGTGACTCATTCCTGGGAAGAGTCCAAGGAGGGTAAAACCTATCACAGATGTCTCATTTTCTCTCCTCATGTTTATATACAACTAGAAGAACAAAAGAGAGAAACACATAAGTGTATCACAGCTAAAAATATTAATAATGAAAAAATATATCCATGAATAGACTATTGGCTAAAATCCATTGTGAAAATTGTGCCCCAAATCTGAGCCAGAACTGGGAGAAGAACAGACGTTAATTAACATTTGATTTTATCATGAAACATCATGGTGAAGTCTAAGATAAGCATCAAAGAACGATTCTGAAGGATAACTTTTTACATTATCGATTGCAGGCATAAAATTCAAATGCTTAAACATCTGGAATTTTGGCAGACAGATCTTAGAAGAGAATGTGTGTGAATTTCTGTTTATGTTTTCAGTTGCACTACATAAGTAGTGCAATTAAAATACTCCATAAATATAAGAATAGACTCAAACTTAATGAACTTCCTAGTTCTTCTATGTGAGTATATTCCATTCTACAGCTTAGAAAAAAATTAATCGATGAGTCGCTTCTCACATGTCTCCTCAAACATCTTAAGAAGCACTTACATTAACTACAGTTAATGTACATTAAAAAAGCACAATGATGTTTTGTATAAAGTATAATTACTGTCTCTCATCACTCCAATAAAACAATACATTCTCCTTTTGGCCAGGAGTGTATCTAGGAAACATAATGATTATTTGACTTCTCGCCTATATTTTTGGATTGCTGCCCATGAAAGTCTAATATGAAAACCATGTCTCCACAGTATTATTTGAAGAGACTTTTTCTATAACCTTGTATTATGGGTTGACCAGAAAGGCAGCTTGAGGTTTTTATTTGACCTAGGAGACTCATGGGGATGTCACGGTAGGACAGAATGGCAAGATGACCTAGGTACTGATATCACCCAGCTCTTGTGGCATAGTGCCTAAGACATTTCACTGCTAACCAGAAGGCTGGTGGTTCAAACCCACCAGCCACTCCTCGGAAGGAAGATTGGGCAATCTACTTCCATAGTGATACTGCCTCAGAAACCCAAGGTGGGGCCTCTGTGAGTCAAATCAGCTCGAAATTAGTGAGTTTGGTCTTATCTTATGATCACCAGAACTTCAACCCACCCTTCATATTTTGCACTATCCTGTAAAATTTGATGAAAGACAATTCACAGGTTTATTTTGAAGTGTCAACCTGAGCTTTTATTTGTTTGTCAGTCTTGTGTGAAAAAATCTAGTGTATTTTCCAATACACCATGTTCCCTAGTAATTTAAAGATGAATTGTTTCATATCTAAATAACAAAGTTATTCTACCTCTGTTCAGATCATGCATCTATTTCAGGTTGGTCAACATATTTTACTAACAATGAAGTTTAGAGAAGGAAAGCTAAAGTTTTCCAAAGGAACAGGAATGAGATCTAACATCTCCTGAACAACTACTAGGTCCTGGAAAGGTCCAGGATTAATAGATCTTAAAATCATGTATCTGGCAACACATCAGTTTGCTTTCCAGTTAAAAGTTTCATAGGATGTTTAAAGGGGAAAAATGATGGCTATGGCTAGAAAAATGTTCTGAATCTTGAATGGCATGCTAAGAAGTTTAGACCTTATTCTGTTAAACATGGGGGGCTGATGTACTGTGGAGATTTTTGAGTGACGTCAGAGAATGAATGAATCAAAACTGTGTTATAGAACAGCATCCAGAAATATGTGAACATGTGGATGATAAAGGTAAATGCTCTGTCCCTCAAATTGTTATTAAACCAGACTTGCAAATACACATGAAATTATGCCCATTTATAGCTGATCTGTTTTGCATATTCTTTGGCTTACCTTATATGTAAAATGTCTTAGCTGTAACATTCATTTTCTGTCCTCATTCCACATTCTAGATGCCCTTGGACATGTTGTGGTTCTTCACTGAAAAAGACCATGATTATTTTCTTCAGTTGAGTGATTACCACTTCATCAAACCTTCAGTTCCATAATCTTTGACTGGATAAATGAGCTTGGCTATTTAAGAGGAATGGTGAGTCAGCCATGTCTAATCATGGGCCTGTGCGCTCCCAACAGTGGTAGTCCTTGGGGACTTCTGTTCTCTACCTTCAAATATCTTGAGTTTATTTAATCTGATTTTAGTTTCTCAAGAAGAATTTCTAGTGGATAATTACTGACTGTTTGAGAATAGCATTCCCTTCTTCTTGCTCACCACCAATATGCTCTAATAATTATGTTGTGAATGTAAATGATGTATGATTTGTCTAAATCTATGGATGTAGATGATGTATGATTCTTTGAAAATTTTAAATCTTTTGTCACTGTTCACATTTGCAGTATCAGAATCTATCCTATGAAAGCCCCTCTTAGGAGGGTATAATGTCTGAGAGACAGACTTAAAACAAAAGTGAATGGCAAAGAATCTCTCTCCTTCAAGTACTAGAGGAACAATCTTTCATCCTGTGTATCAAAAATGGGTGAAGACCATTGATTATAGAGCAATGATAATGTATCTCCTCTGTGCCAGTTACATGAGAAAAATAGAATTGAAAGCCTAAAACACATGTTATGTTTTCTTGAAAAAGTAATATTCTTACTTATATGAGGACTCATATTGTTTGCATGATTTAAAATATTGTTAGGTGCCAGCAAGTTGGTTCCTAATTATAGTGACCTACGTATAATGAAATACTACTCAGTCTTGTGACATCCTCACAGTTGTTGCTATGCTTGAGCCAATTGTTGCAGCAAATGTATCAACCTGTCTTGTTGAGGGTCTTTCCCTTTTTTGGTGACTCTCTGCTTTATCAAGCAAGATATCCTAATCCAAGGAGCAGTCCCTGCTGACAACATGATCAAAGTAGAGAAGACAAAGTTTGGCCATTCCTGCTTTTAAGGAGTATTCTGGGTGTACTTCCTCCAGGACAGATTTGTTCGTTCTTCTGGAAGTCCGTGATATTTTCAGCATTCCTCCCCAACACAATTCAAAGGCTACTACTTGTTTTCACCTTTTTATATTCATTGTTCCATTTTCACATTCATTTGATGTGATTTAATTACCAAGGTTTGGGTTACACACACCTTAGTCTTCATAGTGACATCTTTGCTCCTTAACACTTTAAAGAGGTTTTTTTTTTGCAGCCGATTTGCCCAATGCAATATGATGTCTGATTTCTTGACAGCTGCTTCCATGGATATTGATTGTGGATCCAAGGAACATGAAATCCCTAACAACTTCAGTATTTTCTCCATTAATCGTGATGTTGCTTATTGGTCCAGTTGTGAAGATTTTTGTTTTCTTTAGCTTGAGATGTAAGCCATACTGAAGACTGTACCAGAAGGCTGGTGGTTCAAACCCACCAGCCACTCCTCAGAAGAAAGGTTGGGCAATCCTACTTCCGTAGTGATACTGCCTCGGAAACCCAAGGAGGGGTCACTATGAGTCGGGGCCGACTCCACGGCACATAACAACAACAACAACATCATTAAGTGCTTCAAGTCATTCATGTCAACAAACAAGATTGTGTCATCTGCATATTGCTGGTTGTTAACAAATGAGTCTTCCTCCAGTCCTGATGCCACGTTCTTCTCCATAGAGTCCAGTTTCTCAGATTGTTTGTTTAGTGTACAGACTGAATAAGATGAAAAGATGCAACTTTAATGCACACCCTTCCTGATTTTAAACTATGCAGTATCCCCTTTTTCCATTTGAATGACAGCATCTTTGTCTATTACAGTCTCCTCATGAGCACAGCTAGGTGTTCTGGAATTCCCATTCTTCTCTATATTATCCACAATTTGTTATGATCCACACAGTCAAAGGCATTTGAATAGTGAATAAAACAAAGGTAAACATCTTTCTGGTATTCCTTTCTTTCACCCAAAATCCAATTGACGTCAGCAATGATATACCTTGTTCCATGTTCTCTTCTGAATCCAGCTTGAATGTCTGGAAGTCCTCTATTAAAATACTGCTACAACCTTCTTTGAATTGTTTTCAGCAAAGTTTTACTTGCATGTGATGTTAATGATATAGTTTGATGTTTTTCAGTTTCTATTGGATCACCATTCTTGGAATGGGCACAAATGTGGATCTCATCCATTTGATTGGCCAGGTAGCTCTCTTCCAACTTTCTTAGCATTGACAAGTAAGTGCCTCCAGTGCTCCTTCCACTTGTTGAAACATCTCAATGGGTATTCTGTCAATTCCTGAATCCTTGTTTTTTACCAATACCTTTAGTGTAGCTTGGACATCTTCCTTCAATATTATTTGGTCTTGATCATGTGCTACATCCTGAAATAGCTGAACATAGACCATTTTTTTTGGTACAGTGTCTCTATGTATTCCTTCCATCTTCTTTTGATGCTTCCCACATTGTTCAATATTTTGCCCAAGAATCCTTCAATATTGCAAATCAAAGCTTAAATTGTTTCCTCAGTTCTTTTAGCTTGAGAAATGCTGAGCACGGTGTTCCCTGTTGTTTTTCTAACTCTAAGTCTTTGCGTATTTCACTTAAATACTTTGTCTTCTCAAGCCACCCTTTGAAATAATATTTTCAGCTCTTTTATTTCATCTTTTCTTCCATTCGCTTTAGCAAATCTCCATTCAAGAGCAAGTTTCAGTCTCTTCTGAAATCCATTTTGGTTGCTTCTTCCCTTTTTGTGTTTTTACTGACTGTATAATGTTCTTGATATAATCCCATAACTCTTCAGTCTTGGGTCATTGGTGTACAATATGTAAAATCCATTCTTCATATGATCTCTAAATTCAGGTAGAATATAATCAATGTCATATTTTAACTCTCGTGTTTTTGTGTCTAGGGGCTGTCGTATCACCTCCAACTCATAGCTACTTTATGTAAAAAAGAATGAAACACTAGAGTGCAATGTTATCAATAACATTGGCTTTGGTCTATGTACAGATCCTCATGAGCACAATTCTTTGCAATGTTCTCCATAATTTGTTATGATTCAAACAGTCAAATGCCTTTGAATAGTTAACAAAACACAGGTAAACATTTTTCTGGCACTCTTGGCTTGTAGCCAAGATCCA